GATATCAAAAAGTACTCCAGAGTGTTGTTCAGCATGGGGGTGAGTAGAAAATGAAGGCTAATCATGTTTTGGGTGTACTGTACTATTCCTTTAAGGGTTCAGGATAGAACTAATGATTGGAGCTGAGGTTAAAGGTGCGGAAAATGCAAAGCTAGGTTGAGTGCTGTAGAAAATCCTCGTGTGGTTTAGGTGTGCGTACCTGGATGAGGTAGCTTGAGCAGAGGCTGAGGAGCTCCAGCAGCTGAAGGTGACTGCCCGCAGACAGGACATCCTGGATGACAGCCGGCTCCAGCAGAATCTGGCCCAAAGCAAATTAGAAAGGTCATTAACTTTACAGATTTGCTGCAGCATAGCCTGAAATCCTTTTCAGGCTCTTCATGGAAAACCTCGAGGCATATGCTGTTAGTTATTTTCCTACAATTTTATCATAACTTCATTGCTAAAATAGTCATATGGAATCCTGCCACGTCTCTCTCTCTCTCTCTGCATAAAATTCCGTAAATCCACCAATTCATTCTGATAAGCTGCTAAGTGCAGACACATGTAGTGTCAGAGTGCTGTTTGGACCATTTACCTGAAGCATACAGCGAGATCCAGCAAAGTTCCTGTTTTATCAATAGTGACAATAATAACCTAATTCACATACGTTTCACCTGTGGCACGGTGGAAAAGTCCACTTCGAATTATTTAATTTAAGCTGCAGAAAGCTTTGATGATTTATTCAGCTGCACTGCCCCATATAGTAGCAGCATAACTGGGACTGCATCAGAGGTGTAAGTGAGAAAAATGACTGTCGTTTTGTCTCCCTTGTTTAGCAAGGTTGCCAATAAACTATATAGGTAAGCATTATCTATTAGCGCTGATGGCTATCATGTTTTTTTTCCAGCATTGTTCTCATTATTTATTTATTCTAAGGCAGAAAACAAAAACAGAACTGAGAACAAATGTTCCGTTAGCCTCCACAGCATGTTGTTCACTTATTGTAAGAGCGGTGTAAAGTAGTTTTACTGGATTTAAAAACCAACAGGATTTTCTTGATAGAGCAAATATAAACACATCATTTATCTGTTTTGAGGTTTACTTGTACCTCACAGATAAACTATTTTCTGTGGATATTTGTATACCTAGAGGAGAAACAAAATCCCACAATGCTTTTCTCATAACCGTATCAATTTCCTCTGCTTGCAATTAGCTGCATATGCACATTTCCATTCATCACAGCATGGCTTCCTGGCAGGCCTGGGCTCCAGGCCAGTTAACCACACACACTATCTATGAGCTTCATAAGCTTAACATATTCAGACAAGAGGGCAATTATAGGAGGTTATATTGCTGCAGTTATGACAGTCTAAGCACTGATTCAGAGAGAGCGGAAATGCTCTAACCACCACTCACAATCCAAATTCTCCTGAAACTTCCTGATGTAGGGGTACAAGCTAGAGACTCAGGTAGGCTATTCATCAAAAATATGATAGTAATTCCTGTCAGGAAAGAGCAGCATTGATTGCTAGCTGGTCTGGGAATGCTGACAGGGAAGCTAATAGATGGACACGGACCCAGAATATGAGTCCTGTTTGTAGTTTGTCACAAGCCATGTAGGATCAGCAGCAAACATAAAGCCAAACCAAAACTATGGACGACATCACCCCACATTGCAAAATGCTTTCAATTAATTTATGCTGACACAGTGCCATAAAAAAATTTAATTTTTTGGACAAAAATATTGCCAGTAGGGTAAGTTAGAGACTTTCTCTTCAAAGTCGCAGGGAAGCTGCTGTTCCAATCGTTGCAGTTCAGAATTCTGCAGAGGGGTGCACGACTTTACACGAGTGAATAAAGTGAATGTGATTGGCCGTTTTATCACGAGGGCCGGATTTTTGCGTATATTAGATGTGACATATGAATCAAGATGCTATGACCGAAAACATTTGATTGACGGATGACCGTTGATAAATGATTAGCCGAATTTAGGTGTTCAGGCTGACGTATAACTAACTGGCCTGGATAAGATAACCAAAAAAAACACAGATTTTTTTTCAGCATTTCTTTTTTTAAATAGAAATTTTCTAAAGCCAGAATGGTTCAACATTTAAAAATGATTTCAGTTTTTGTGTTATTTCGCTCCTGGTTAACAATAAGAAATAAAACTGATAATTCTAGATTTCTTCTGAACTGAAGCAGAAACATAATACAAACAATAATATAAATAGGTTATAGTTAATATAACAAACAAGTTTCTCTGTTGTCAATAGTCTGTATTTAAATAACTGTTGTTAAAGTTTGTGTGAGGGCAAGAACTTAACAAATTAAAAACTAAAGTAAATGTACATATGTAGACTTAGATTTATTTTGTCATTTATTTTGAGTGTATACAAAAATAATTTTCATTTGAAACAGCTCTAGAAAATTAAATTTTTTAAAGTACAGCCTTGAAAAACAGTAATAAAAAGATTTAAAAAAAAAAATGGTAATATAAACAAATGACTGAATATCTACAGTGTTTTTTGTTTTTTTATAAATCGAATAGCCCATTTTACACAACATTCAGCAGTCTAACCCCAGGCTCACACCGACTCCGGTCTTACCGTTGCGGTGCGGTGGGTGCGGCGCCGCAGTGATTCCAAGTCATTAAAAAGACGTAAACCTCTCTCACTGTCTGCCGAGCTGTCCGGCTGCGGTTACCGAGACACTCCGGCGCTGCAGAAAATTCCGCAA